ATCCACCTCTCATCCTCCTCTCATCCTCTCATCCACCTCTCATCCTCTCATCCACCTCTCATCCTCTCATCCACCTCTCATCCTCTCATCCACCTCTCATCCACCTCTCATCCACCTCTCATCCACCTCTCATCCACCTCTCATCCTCTCATCCACCTCTCATCCTCTCATCCACCTCTCATCCACCTCTCATCCACCTCTCATCCACCTCTCATCCCACCTCTCATCCACCTCTCATCCTCTCATCCACCTCTCATCCACCTCTCATCCTCTCATCCACCTCTCATCCTCTCATCCACCTCTCATCCGCTCATCCTCTCATCCACCTCTCATCCTCTCATCCACCTCTCATCCTCTCATCCTCTCATCCCACCTCTCATCCACCTCTCATCCTCTCATCCACCTCTCATCCACCTCTCATCCACCTCTCATCCACCTCTCATCCACCTCTCATCCACCTCTCATCCACCTCTCATCCACCTCTCATCCTCTCATCCACCTCTCATCCTCTCATCCACCTCTCATCCACCTCTCATCCTCTCATCCCACCTCTCATCCTCTCATCCCACCTTTCATCCCACCTCACATCCCACCTCTCATCCTCTCATCCTCTCATCCCACTTCTCATCCTCTCATCCACCTCTCATCCACCTCTCATCCACCTCTCATCCTCTCATCCACCTCTCATCCTCTCATCCTGTCATCCACCTCTCATCCACCTCTCATCCTCTCATCCACCTCTCATCCTCTCATCCACCTCTCATCCACTTCTCATCCTCTCATCCCACCTCTCATCCCACTTCTCATCCTCTCATCCCACCTCTCATCCCACCTCAAATCCCACCTCTCATCCTCTCATCCCACCTCTCGTCCCACCTCTCGTCCCACCTCTCATCCCACCTCTCGTCCCACCTCACATCCCACCTCTCGTCCCACCTCTCATCCCACTTCTCATCCTCTCATCCCACCTCACATCCCACCTCACATCCCACCTCTCGTCCCACCTCTCGTCCCACCTCTCATCCCACCTCTCATCCCACTTCTCATCCTCTCATCCCACCTCTCGTCCCACCTCACGTCCCACCTCTCGTCCCACCTCTCGTCCCACCTCTCATCCCACCTCTCATCCCACTTCTCATCCTCTCATCCCACCTCACATCCCACCTCTCATCCCACCTCTCATCCCACCTCAAATCCCACCTCTCATCCTCTCATCCCACCTCTCGTCCCACCTCTCGTCCCACCTCTCGTCCCACCTCTCATCCCACCTCTCATCCCACCTCTCATCCCATCTCTCATCCCACCTCTCCTCCCATCTCTCTCAGACTTTAGATATTGGTGAGGAGCTCATCTGGCGGGGCCATGCTGTCAATTTCCAGGAAGCAGTGAATGGAAAGATGGAGGGGAGCAACCTGGGCTGTCTGCAGAGGATGTTGGTGAGTTAGTGAACACACTCACATCTGCATTGGCCTCAATAACACTATTGACAACGGAAGTCTTATTCTTATTTTATTAAATATCTGTTTCATATCAGATTTTGTAAAAAAAACAGGGTTTAAATGAAGATGTAATGGACAATAAAGTGACACGTATTGTAATGAGAATAATAATAATAAAGTGAATTTTCTTAAATGTTTGTGTGGAATCTTAAACATTGTTCATCCTCTTGGTGAGGCGTGTCAGCATGCTGACATACGATGATGGTTTTCATTATATAAAAGTCAACTATAAGCTGAAAGAAATGAGGTCATTTGGAGGTTGTTGTGAAATTAAGCGATTGTATCTCATTCTCAGTTTTCATGGCAGCACTGTGACTCAGTACAGAATTCATCAATGAGATATTCCCATCTTTCTCACCAAACACAATGTAGCCTACTCAGTATTGTCACTGCAACATGCTTTATTGTATCTCTGAACCACCTCTTATCTCCTATAGGATGATGTGATGGGAGCATCCTCAGAGCTGAGCCTCTCCTGTATCAGTTTATCAGGTGAGTACGGGAACGGACCTTTGTGACTGAATCAATGATCATTCTGTCTTCTCATTTATTGCTAAGGATTTGTCAAGTGAGCAAAAGTCTTCATCAGGTTCATCTCCATGTTATCCACATATTCTCAAAACTGTGGAGCAACATCATGCAAGCATTAAACACAGCCCCCCCAAACATGATTCACATTGTCGAGTCATCAGGCTCACCCTCTGACACCAGCACTGTTCCTGATTTTCATGTTGCTTTCACATATTCACAACTTCTAATCGGATCATGTTGCCACCTAGTGGTGACATCTGGTGTCAACAGGAGACAAAGGACTACAATACATCTCAACTACATGTGTTTTTGAAGACGAGACACAGGTCTCAGCAATTAACCTTTTCCCTTTTACACAACCTAAATGTGCTTATCCTTTTATTTAAGATTTGCCTCTTTTGTAGTGACGCTTGTCAAGGTCTATTTCTTAATTGAATTTGTGTGGAACAGTTTTTGTTTTTATAAATGAAATCAGCCATACAAGATCAAGCCAGCCTCACTAGCCAAATGTGTCATCACAACAGTCATCATTGATGACAAGCTGATACAAGGAGCCCATCTCCACTTGATGTGCTCATTAGAGTCAGACCAGAACAATTGCTCCCATGACTTGTGTTGGGGGGCTGCACCCTGCACATCAGGATTATCTTCACTTTCTTTGGATCATTTCCCCAAATAAAATATCCCAAACAAAAGACTAATCTATCCAAATATCTCAATCATCTGATCCAACAGTTAATCAGAGCAAGCTTTCAGTGCCATTGTTCAGTACTAGACACTTGGTGTCATTTCAGATGGTACAAATGTAATACAGTTTCATATTTGGTCTGGTCTTGCATGACTTCATCTAGGGCAGCAAACTTAATCGTAATTGTATCCCCCTTTTTATTGTTCCATTTTATAGTCCCTTTTTATAATCCCTTTTTATAATCCCTTTTTATGATCCCTTTTTATGATCCCAATATGGAAATAACAGGAAGAAAAATGCATTCAAAGCTAAATATGTTTAAATACTATTTCCAAGTGATTAATGTAGAGCTACAGAGATACCCAGTCTCAAAATCCTTATCCTACAGACTTAATCAAACTAAATTATTTAGTACAGATCCTCTTTAAAAATCCTACCATGGTCCAATGAATATATGTTTCAATGATAATAAGAATAACAATGCATAATGATCAATCCCACCTTTTATTGTAATTGCAATATTAGTCCAAATGATTGCAATGAGTCCTTTTCTCCAAATGGTGCAGCCCTAACTTAACCCCAATGTATTTCATGTTTGACTAACTTGTATATCTGGAAATGATTCCATTGTTATTCCCCAACCCTCCTATCTGCACTGGTAGATCAAACATATGATTGTTGATAGCCTTTAACTCCATGTTTTCTTTTTGTGTCTCAGAAGCTGCTTCAATCTCTGGAAGTGTTGATGATGTCAGAGAAGAGGAGCTGATCTGAGACCAAAGACACATTGAATATCAAGGTATTGTTTCCTGGCTTGATGAGTGCTTACCTCCTCCAAAGCATGTCTTCATGTCTGTAATGAATAACCTGTCCTCCTCTTCTTCCAGCACTGACCGTCCAATCCTCAGCTTCAGTTCCAATCAGGAGACGTTTCCTTATCAGACCCCAACCCAACCACGTTAATCCTCATTATCAAGCCTTACCAACAGTTCTTTCAGCTATGTTCACTTTATTCTTGTTACTTCAGTACAATGTGTGTGTTTTGCCTTGATGTTGTTCTGTTGTAGACAACGCTGCTTTGCTTATGTGTTGTTGCTATATTTCTTTGTTCAAGAAATGAAGAGAGGAACAGGAACAGAATGCCAGTATTATTTTCAAAAAGCACTGTGATATGTCCATGTACAAGACGGCAGCTGGTTAGCTTATAATGTGCAGTTTTGTTTCTCTACTTGGTTGAATATGAAGAAGTAATGGCCTAGATAATTAGGCCTTACAAGTTATTCTATTTTGAAAATGTTACCGGATTGAATGTGAGCCGCAGATTGTGTTCGTTATCACGCTATGGCATTTATTGTATCCTTAATACAGGACGGTGTTGGTTTTTCTTCAGAGGTGTGATAAACTGAAATATATAGAATAAAGGATTTATTTTATGGCACAATTGTCGAGTCTTAATTTGAAATCGTGTTCTTTCTTGATTGAAACATTTCCAAATAAAACGTGATAAAGGAGACCCATATGTTGAAAATAAGAGCCTTTCCAACACTGCCTTTGCCATGATCTTAGAGTATGGTACAAGCTCAGGCCTACCTACCTTTGCCATGATCTTAGAGTATGGTACATGCTCCTTTGCCAAACATCTTTATAAGGTCATAGTTGAAATGTTAGTAAGCGGAGTGAAACTGATTAGTGGTATTATTGGATACCGCAGATCCTTCCTTCCTGCAGTATTGTGGTCAGACTATAACCACCACGGCCCCTGGTGGACCCCCCTACACACACAACACAGACTACTACACCCCTTGTTGTGAAATACAAATGATGTGCAATATATATGTATGCTGTTAATAACTGCAATATATACCTGGCTGCTATATCTTCAAAACTGTTACAGGATGTGTCTTTTGTAAATGGTGTAATTTCATTTATTTGTTATCTTTAAAAACAAATGATGCATGCTTCTTAGTTAACATTAAGCTTTATTTGGCTCTTTTCTGCTGTAACAAATGTAAATGTCCTCTCTGTGGGACGAACAAAGGCATTCTGAATCTGAAAGACTTGTTTTATAATGAATACTCCCTCTGTTTATGTTGGTGTTGGTTTGATACAAGTGTAGTATAGATACGTATTACTATTTTCTGTTTGTGTCTACTAAATTGAACAGGCCATTCATTAATTCCATTGTGAGTCCACTGTTTTGTTTCTGTGTGGGTTGATGAACTCCATTCCGTATTGACCAATCACATGAAAGTAGGTTACATTCGCACATGCGCAGAGGCAGCAGAGTAATTTGTTGATATCCTGCTTGGTAGTATTAATTTAGACTTTGGTATTTCAAAGTAACATTTACCCCCACTGTAGGGGTTTTTATTTGCATTTGGCAGCACAGTTAATAAGAACGTTATCTATATGAAGGGCTAATGGAAGACACAAGGGATTTGGTGAGTGAATATGAAACATTTTAGGGCCGTGAGCCTCTGATTACAGAGGATTTGCCTCGGCTAGCGCTGCTCCTTTGTTGTTATCTGCTTATAGTAGCTAGCTAATGGGTCAGCCAGTGTTAAATATGAGCAAACTCTCCAAAAAAACAAGTATAGACACAAAATAACACCACGCTTATTTTAAATCGATATGTTAAATGTGCAAGTATGCTACGCAAATGAAAAGTGCGTTATGCTCTGTTGAATAAAAGCAGGAAAAACAGGTTTCCGCTAGCTAGGTATGCTAAGGCTAGCTAGCATTAGGAGCTATTGCCAATAAGGCCGCCCCTTATTTTAGATGATGTGTTAGCTTGTTTTCTATTTTGCACATCTTACATTCAGCTCAGTGTGCGTTTACTGGCTGATGCATTGTTTTTCTGTCATGATTCTTGCTGTTTAAATTATTTATGTTAGGATGCCACCTGTGATACCAAGAGGAGGAAGTAGACAGGCTGTCAACAGTAAACATTAAACCCCGCTCCGGATCATACACACAGTGAGCAAGACGTATGAAATGAAATAAATATTTACATTTTTTCTGAACATTTGTTTTCTTACATTTTTTAAAACATCTTCTCTGTGGCAGCCTGATTCCTAGGTGACATTCCAACGCAAATTGTATTTTAAAGAGTCCGCTAAATATAGCCTATGGAAAACTGTAACTGTACACACACCTAACGCTAACATTTAAAACACGACATTTTGAAGAGGATTCTTGAGCTAAAACAATTACTTACAGTTGAAGCTAACATTTTGAAAATCAATGATCTGATCTCTGCTTGCCAAATGCAAACTTGCTGGTTTCCTTAAAGTTCTGTGTAGTCAAATGAATATATGTGGTCCTTGGACACAACAATAAGTCTAAAGATGTCCTTTTCACTATTTTCTGACATTTTATCATCCCAACAACAAATGATATCAGAATGTATTATCAAGACTGATGGAGTTAAATGTATAATTGTAAATAATGATGTTTATTGTAATGTCCTTGATTGTGAAGGCTGAACGCACCCCACGTTCAGAGCGCAAGCGGAGAGACTCGTTCGGGATGTTTGATGGCTATGACAGCTGCAGTGAGGAGTCTACCAGCAGCTCCAGCTCAGAGGACAGCGAGGACGAGGTGATGCCCTCCATCCCGGCCAGCCTGCCCATCATCAAGAACAATGGACAAGTTTACACTTACCCTGACGGAAAGGCTGGAATGGGTCAGTACATGGAAATATGTTAAGTTGTGCTTTTTGTTTTGCTTTCTATTTGATACAATCCTGTTTGTTAGGAAATATCATTTGCCATCATGTTGCATACTGTTTATTTGACCAGATGATATGTGAATCTTGGTCTCTGTTTCACAGCCACTTGTGAGATGTGTGGGATGGTTGGAGTACGAGATGCTTTTTACTCAAAAACCAAGCGCTTCTGCAGTGTGTCATGTTCTAGGAGTTATTCCTCAAATTCCAAAAAAGCTAGCATCTTGGCACGACTCCAGGTACGCTTTTTCATAACAAATGAAATATTAAATGTAAGATTAAACATCTATTATTACAACTATTTAACTCTGCTTTTATTTTGCCAGGGCAAACCACCAACAAAAAAGGCCAAAGTCTTACAGAAACAGCCCCTCATGGCAAAGTTGGCTGCTTACGCCCAGTACCAAGCGAGTCAGCAGAACCAGGCCAAATCAAAAGCAGGTAGGTTATAAAAAAGGACAGATACTTAATAGACAAACAGTGTTTCTCTGTGTGGTTACTCAAACATTGTTTTCTATGTCTTCAGTGGTCCCTGCAGAGAGCTTTGACTGGGGTCGGTATATCTGTAGCAATGACACAGTTGGAGCTCCAGTCAGCTGTTTCAAGCATGTAAGCCAAAACTGTGGAGAATGGTTTAGTTGATTTGTTGTTATTCTTGACTGATTAACCTCACTGCTCCCTCTATGCTTCAGGCCCCCATGGGGACATGCTGGGGGGGCATAGAGGAAGGAGTGAGGCTTGAAGTGCCCAACTCTGATACCAACCTCTCCACTAAGGTGTACTGGATAGCAGAAATCATTAAGCTAGCAGGTAAGAACATTTCTTCAGCTAGCTGAAGGACTTTTGGTTATTGGAAAAATCTATCCAAAAGTGTACGAGACAATTCAGTTTCTATTTTCTTTCCGTGAAAACTGGCTGTAATGATTTGAATTGGTTGTATCACAGTCTAATATAGATCAGAATATGGTAAATGCATTAAAGCCTAAATATTCCCATGGAGGTTAATACTGTGCGCTGTTTGTGAAATACACACATGTACTTCTTGTTCCAGTGCTGATTGATTATGGCAAAAATAAATCTCAATTATTTTGGTCAATATTGTGATTATAATTCTTTAACACTATAACTTAAAGCCTTTAGGAAGAACATTGTGTGCATTTCAAAGTTAAATGCATCAATCTGGTGCACATTTAAATCCAGAATTAAAAGGATAGAATATTTCAAAACGTTTGCTCTTGAAAACTATTTAAACAAACACATTGGGAAAAAGTGACATATATAAAACATGGTAACCACCAGCCCATGTTGAAAACATCTCAGCAGAGTGCACCGAAGTAGTCCCCTGCCCTGGAGAGTGTCACGGTCTTGGCTATGGGTGTTGCAGAACTCATAGCCGGAGCCAGGGGCCACCTTGGCCACTGAACCCTCCAGACCCACCTAGAGCCAGTCCCACCCATACTGGGGGGCCGAGCAGGGCTGAAGTGACAGCTGTTAAGAAATGTGTGCACTGGATTTGTAAAACTAGACACGGAGTGTAAGAGTTCAATTGTTATACAACCTGTCACTGTATTCTATGGCATTGACAACACCACTTCACTAAAGCTGCCTTCACATCATACGTGATTTGCTCTTTGCTCACGGCGAGGTGGGGCGCAGAGCCTTGTGGTGAAAACAGCTAGTTAGTTTTGTTTCTAAAGTTACCCTGATAGCTTGCACCTCCTCATGCAGCTGTAACCTGGTTACGTGTCGAAAGGTCATCGGCAGTCGAGGTGAAAGCTGAAATAATTTGAACTTTGAGTGCAGCGCTAGGCAACAATTCTTTGGCCCCAGAATAAAAAGGCACAGAGCTGTTTACCGCTGATCATGTGAAGGCAGCTCTAAAGTCCATTCGTTACACTTACCATACCATATGATCAGCAGATTGATTCTGCTCAATTCTAATGGAGCTGCAAATATTCAAAAATTCCACTATACTAAAATTCCCTTCACATGCTCATTGACAGGAAACATCTAGAAAAAGCAAGTAAGGTTTTTTTTTTTTAATGGACGTTTGTTGGATGACTTTTCTTTCGCAGATCAGGACTGAGATATGAAATGAACGTGTTTTCTGTTGTGCAGGGTTCAAGGCTCTCCTGCGGTATGAGGGCTTCGATAGCGACACCAGTAAAGACTATTGGTGTGATCTCTGCGTCCCGGAGGTGCACCCGGTGGGATGGTGTGCTTCGAGTGGCAAACCTCTTATACCTCCGAAAAGTGAGTGTTCTTCCTGCTTCTTGAATGCCTGTGGTCTTATTCACTCAGCCGTATTATGATTGTTACATTGTAATCTTCTCTACAGCCATACAGCATAAATACTCTAACTGGAAAGCTGTTCTTGTGAAGCGCCTCACTGGAGCTAAAACACTGCCACCGGACTTTAATACCAAGGTAAGACCCACCAGTGCCTCAACATTTGTATTAACTTCAGTGCCAATATCTTTAATACAGATCAGGTAGCTTATAGTGCTTTATGTCCATTAAACAATTCCAAATTAGAGATAAAAGTAATCAGTGTTGATGTACATTTTCAACTGAATTCCTCTCAAAGGCATTTGATCTGTGATTGATCTTTCTCCACAGGTACAAGAGAACCTGCAGTTCCCCTTTAAGAAGCTGATGCGGGTGGAGGTGGTGGATAAGAACTACCTGTGCCGGACACGGGTGGCGCTGGTGGAGCAGGTGACTGGGGGGCGCCTCAGGCTGGTTTATGAAGAGAGCCAGGACGGGTCGGATGACTTCTGGTGCCACATGTACAGCCCCCTCATTCATAATATAGGCTGGTCGCGCAGCATCGGACACCGCTTCAAACGATCCGGTGGGTTGGGAAACATGTAGTAACACTGAGGTTGTGTGTGTGTGTTTAACGACAAGGTATCTTAAGAAAGGCTATGTTCATATCTAGCAAAACTGGTATAATAATGTGATATGCCACAAAGGCAGCAGCCAATGTTTTTCTGTTTTGCTGGGCTGTGTGAGTTAGACCTATTATTTTATCATATTATATCATAAACTACTTTGTCAAATTTTGAATTATTAAAATGAGCAAATTATAAAAAAAAGCAGCATTATCTGCTCTGAAATGCTGTTTGTCCAGTGCTGCCCACTTGGAGAATCTTAACACACCCCTGTGTACTCAGCTCATTTCTAGTTTAGCCCTATGCTAACTATAATGGGTCTAACTTCACAATTCGGTAATATATAGTTCTTCAAAAATGTGTAATTGCTGTTCGTTATCTGCACTGACATTCTGCAATGAATATCCTTGTAGCACTGTAACTAAAAAGCTCTGACTGAAAGTTACACTCATATCTCATTGAACCTTTCAAATCCCATCTCAGCTTTGACTGCCTACACATTCTATAAATCATGATGCTCTTTTTTAGCCGTATTTATTTACTTGGATCTCTAACGCAGGCAAGTGAATTTAATGTTGATTTATTTTTCAGATTTCACAAAGAAAATGGAGGGTCAAGTTGATGCTCCTGCACTGCATTTCCTGAAGGTAACACAAAACAATGAATGAATGTTTGGGGGAGTCCTACTGCTGCGTATTGAATTGATATGTCAGTCTTTCAGAAACACAAGACTACCCAAAAGTCACAGTTATTGATTTAGTTGTCCAACAAATATCTGATTACTTTCTGTCTGCATGTGAATCAGGTGAAAGATGTGGACCAGAGTGGGGATTGGTTCAAAGATGGGATGAAGATAGAAGCCATTGATCCCCTCAACCTCTCAGCTATATGTGTAGCCACTGTAAGAAAGGTAAGGCCCCACTGTGTATCATGCTGTGTGTCAGGGAGAAAACCCTTTTATTGTTCATGTTTAAATGCCATTGGGGCTTTGTGTAGGTGTTGGCAGACGGGTACCTCATGATCGGGATCGATGGTTCTGAGGCGGTGGACGGGTCAGACTGGTTCTGTTACCACGGCACCTCCCCCTCCATCTACCCTGTCGGCTTCTGTGAAATCAACAACATTGAACTCACGCCCCCTAGAGGTACTGTACACTCATCTCTGTGTCTTTGAGCCCTTCATAAATGAGCATTTCATTCCATTAAGACCACAAGGATATGGAAGATTGAAAGTGCCTGAATAAAACCATTTCTAAAGATATCTTTCAATACAACACACATGGGATTACATTTCACATCTGTGTGTATGCATTTACTGTGTCATTATGAAATGAAAAAAAGATGTTTGTCATTCGTAAGTAAATGGTATGATGCTACATTAAAATGGAAGAAGCCAGAAAGCTCCTCATACAAAGTCCTGTCTGGTTGCGGAAACAGTTTGATATCCCATCTGTTTAAAGGGGTTTCAAATGTCTTAATACAGGCAAGATGTAACTTAACATCCAGTTCATATACAGGCCCCTGCGACCTGTCAATCACACAGATAACTGTAACCAACTTGTGTCAGTGATGAACAACTCTCTCTTTCATCCCGCCCCCAAGCTGTGATTGGACAGTGGATTGGTTTTTCATTTTAAAATGTGTCTCCATTTTAGAAAATAACCTTTTCCCTTGCATCTCCAGATGAAGACAAATGACTTTGCTTTGCATATTTATTTGGGCACTTTTAATCCTCCATACATGGTCTCTATATTATTCTATAATCAAATAGCATTTGCCTTAAGGTGATGTTGGTAAGAAGTAGTTTAATAACATGTTCTTGTGTTTCTGAATGTCCTGGTCTCATCACTGACTCTGTTCCCCAGGGTATACTAAACTGCCATTTAAATGGTTTGACTACCTCAGAGAAACAGGTTCAATAGCTGCTCCTGTCAAGCTCTTTACCAAGGTAGGCTGTGTTCATGCTTTCCCCACTGTATGTGTTAACGTCGTGTCCTTCTCAGGTCACATGTCTTCTGCTATTATAGTTCTTGTAATTAAAAACAGCATCAGAGTTTTCTATGCATCATTACATGTGATCAGCAGCAGCTGCAGGTCTGTAGGCTCCAGAGGATGGTGTTCTGGTTGATCATGTGACAGCAGTGTCACCTCCTCTTCCCTCAGCACCATAGTCTGCTGAAATTGATTTGAGTCAATTGGTTTGAAAGCGACTTTTGAATTAGGAAATAGATGTCACGTTAATAATGCAACTGTTAAGGTCCTTTAATGGCTCCAGATTTCTTATGGGGATAAGCTGATGTGTTCACCTCTGCCTTGTATTTCTTTCCCTTGTTCCATCTGATTCTTGGATTTAGAATGTATCAGTTCTCCACTGTTTAGCTTACTAATGTTTATTTGTATGTCAATTCAAATAAGTTCCTGTTTGTCACTGTCCTGCGTCTCCTAGGAGATTCCTAATCACGGTTTCCGGCAAGGCATGAAGCTGGAGGCTGTAGATCTAATGGAGCCTCGGCTGGTGTGTGTTGCCACGGTGACGAGGATTGTGCACCGGCTACTGAGGATCCACTTTGACGGCTGGGAGGATGAGTATGACCAGTGGGTGGACTGCGAGTCACCTGACCTCTACCCTGTGGGTTGGTGTCAGCTGACCGGCTACCAGTTGCAACCCCCCGCCTCACAGAGTAAGAACTTCACCCTCCTCCCCCCATCTGATAGTCCTAAAGGCAGGGAGCGACATGAATCAGGATAGCAGAGAAAGACTTCATTCTGTTCGGGTGCTGCCTATTTCTATTGAAATCTTGAGCAAAAGCATCTCTTCTTGGTCAGCTTTCTTTATGAATTGAAAGGCCAAATCTGCAGGAAAATGTTTCCCTTATACTTCCAACATGGTAGCATACTGTCACATGAACAGAACATGTATAGCACATGCACGTTTCAATCCAGAGAGAGTCACTGTATGAGTTCTGCTTTGTTGTAGCAGAACAAAGAACAGACAGCAGGTCTTAAGCTGTTGAGAGCAGAGATATAGCAAACATGGACAAACAATCGGGTGGCTAAGCTATTATAAATCATCATCAACTCATAATTGGAAAATAAATAAATATTCTTTAGTTCAAGGTTTCCAAATGTTAATATGTTCTGCTTGTCCTTGTCTTAACGTAGTACGTAGTAGTAAATTGGATTAGGACAGATGTTAGATAAAACAAGACTTTTAAAGACCTCGCCTTGGGCTCTCGGAAATTGTGTTTCTAACAGTTCAAATGAAAAGATTCCTTTGCCAGAATCATTCTGTAAAAAACAAGGATTTAAAAAAGAATGACACTGATGAGTAAATGGAATAAGGAGGCTGCGTGGTTGATATGTGAACAGAACTGTGAGGGCCCCTCATACACTGTATTTACTGTGGAGGAATCTTGTGATGACAGATGTCAGGGCGTTGAGTGAGGCCAGGGTTAGTCCATACCCATCATACAGACTGGATTGATGCTATTTGTGGCTTGTGCTAGATATTGAACAATCGATATACTTGAAATGATGCTGTTTGTGTCCTTGTTTTGTGCCTCACCTCACACACTTTGGTGCTAACAGATGTCCCGTAGTAACCTTTGTTCTGGTCTTCTTTCAGGTACCAGAGATCTGCCTCAGTCTGTACCCAAACAGAAGAAGAAGGCCCAGCAGTACAAAGGCCAAAAGAAAAGTGAGTAATCCATCTAGTATTTGTGTCTCCCACTTCCTTCCTTCACCTTCTCTTTTTCCTGTTCCTCTCACTGTAACTGGATACACTCGTGCTTGAAGCTGTGCCCGCTGTGTGAGAAATGTGGATAGTAGATGGTACTACTCAACAGCTCATAGAGTATATTAGTGACGTATACAGATTAGAGTGGTTGTGAACACATGGCCTGCACACTGGGGTGCAAAGTGTTCTTCAGATATTCCAGAGCGAGGCGCCTGGTGTTCCATCCTCATGAGGCTATTGCTAAAACACCATTTGCTGAACACAGGCAGTTTATCAAGACATCTGTGGCTGCCTGTAGGAAAAGCAATTCATGAAATCAAATTAAAATGTGATGTGTTTTTTGTGAACTGCCTTGTTACAAAATGTATAACACATGACTCACTAAATACATAAAAAAAAAGTCTGGAAGTTGAGTTTTTAATTGGAACTATGAGGAATTAGGAACAATTATTATGATTGTATTACTTAACTACAAAAAACCTCTGGCACAATACAGCAGGCTTTTTCTTTTGAATATTTTGACTGTCCCCGATATTAAAGGTGGGGTAAGTAAGTTTCAGAAACCGGCTCGAGATACACTTTTTGTTATATTCCATGCAATGCTCTTAACATCCCGATAGCAATGAATATCTTAAGTGTTTGACAAAAAATCCATACAAAAATGTCATCTGTGGAACCCGTAATACTGTAAAAACTACAACCAACCAATCCAATTGGATTGCCGGCCTGTCTGTCAGCCTTCCATCTCGTGCACACGCAAATGTATCTCGTGCCCTCATTGGGCGTGCCGTCATTGGGCGTGCATTGCAGCAGTACTTCAATGACTCGCCAGCAACAGGCGGCCACTTTCACCATGGCAGTTCAACATAGTCTATTGGTCGCAAAAGAAAAAATGTAACGGAGCAAATTAAGAACAAAAAGAAAGTGGAAACTAGGAGAAGTCAAACCAGTGTCAATATCGGAGTTGCTTTGGCTGTGTAGTATTGCTAACCTAGATGTGTTTAGCTTTGCCTGATATGTAACGTTACTGCAGCCTGCTCTCGCGGAGGAGGTGCTCTGTAAGGAAGTCTGAAAGAAGGGGCGGAGTCTATTTGGCTGTGTACTTTCAAATTTTAGTGCACTCGAGCCGGTTTCTGAAACTTACCTACCCCACCTTTAAGTGGAGTTTGTGTTCGATCTGTATTTAGTTTTATTTCCACTTTCTAACTATGCCCTTTAAATAACCTCCCTTTGCTGCCCTGCTGGTAAAGCTGCATCTAGATTACAGGATTTAGGATTAGCCTCATATAAGATTATCAGGAGAGCACCCATCTAATGAGGTAACAGTGTCCGGTGCCTGAGAACACTTCATGTGGAGTTTCAGTGGGGACCTAGCAGCATCACACACACACCTGAAGGAATGGAGCAATGAGCCTGGGAGAGATATATTTAGTGTCTTTGTGCTGTAATGTTGGACAGAAACAAGATGGTGTGAGTGGATGTGATCTGCCGGGTGTGTATCAGAGAGAAAGAGTACACTCGGACATGCTGCTCTCAGGGTTACCTGATAGAAATGTATACAAATGCCAATCGATTTAATATCAAAATGGCTGCCACAGACTTTTACACATTTAGTTTAGCAGCTTTAGGCCTGTTGTTGGTAGCTCACAGTGGATACCTACGTGAGTCTGATGTTGAATCACCATAAAGATGGACAGATGAACTCAGAGGACAGCAGCCAGAGGTTACATTCAATGATAATGTAAACATGACGGTGGTATCTTGTTTGAACTGAACCTGTGTGTAGCTAACCAGAGTGTGCTTCATGTTCAGAGAGGAAGATTCCAGTTGGTCGACGGCCCTTCAGTCAGACCGGCAGGAGGAGGAGCAGCTTCTCCGGAGACGAAGAGCAGAGCCCCCCCCCTTACCCTGCACAGGGGCCCTCTCGGCCACGGCCCCGACCCAGAACACACCTGCACCAAACACACAAATCAGGTACGGACTAACGGGAGAGCCAACAGGGCACAGAGCCTCTGAGGGGCTCGCAGGAGCTGTAGAGCTGGCTCCTGCTGGTCATGCATGTTGTTTTCTTAAAACTACCTCATAACTCTTCTCACATGTACAATTTCTCATGTCTGGATTGCATTTCCACTTGAAGCATAAATATAGCATGTTTGTTTCATTCATAGTTTTCCAAATAGCTGACTCACTGCGAGTTGGACCCAGGTTCCCCTGAACTAAAACACCCCTGTTTGCTATCCTGGCTCCACAATGCTGGAACAAGCTCCACATTGATATCAGGACCGCTGAGAGTCTACATATCTTCCATCACAGTCTGATAAACCAGCTGCTTCCACTGGGGGAACATAACATCATAAATAAATACATTTAAAGTGGTTTCCCTTCAGTATAGAATATATTTTCTTTATTGTCATTGTACCGGTACAACAAAATAAAAAAAGCAATCCTGGCAGCGCAGATCTACACGTCAACAAGCATCACATTAAAATATATGTATCCATACACTTAAGAAAAATGTACATACATACATACATACATTCATACATACATTCATACATACACAAACACATACGTATACCTACATGCATACATGCATACGTACATAGAAAGCTAACCTGCAGGATTCTTGTTTCTTCATGGTTTCTTCACGGTTGAATACACTTATTGTAAACAGAGGTGGCAGAATTACTTAGATCTTGTACTTGAGTAAAAGTAGAAGTGCCAGAGTGTAGAAATACTGTGTTACAAGTAAAATAACTGCATTCAAAATGTTACTGAAGTAAAAGTAGTGCAGCTAGTTTGAATGACGTTGTATACTGCAGGGTAGCTTGTGAATTTACTCCAGGTGGAACTAAAGTCTGATTCAACACTTGATTATATTTCACATCATTCATCCACATCTGTAAAGTAACTAAAGGTATTAAATACATGTAGTGGAGTAGAAGTACACCATGTACCTCTGAACTGTAGTGGAGTAAAAGTACAAGGTAGCAGAAAATTGAAATACTCAAATCAATTACAAGTACCTTAAATGACACTAAAGTAAGTGTACTTAGTTACTTCCCACCTCTGATTGTAAGTTTATTTTGGCTAAAAGAGTCGACTAAATGTAATGTAATGTCGTCCCCCCCCCCCTGTCTGCAGAGCCTCTCCTGAGGATGAAGGAAGACCCGGCGGAGGTGGACGAGTTCACCTTCTCACAGGGCACCTCGGACCAGGAGAGCAACGGCTCCGGCAGCTACTACATCAAACAGGAGCCCTGAGGGCAGGACTAGCAGGAGCAGGGGGGCAGGACTCTCCTCTGGGACCCCCCCTCTGGGACCCCTCAGGGAGGTGCAGAGTCAACCAGCCTCAAACCACACTCAGACCAACGCCTCAGGCCTTCATGGAGTCCCTACAGGAAATGACGAGGAGGGGGGGG